TTCTCCCATCCTCTCTCCCTTCCTCTCTCCCTCCCTTCCTCTCTCTCTGGAATCAATAAAGAAAAAAAAAAAAGCATGATATAATGCTTGAGTGTATGTGTAATATACTGCTTTTCTGTGTGTGTGTGTGTGTGTAAGTGTGTAATATACCACTTTTTCCTGACTGAATTCAGGATTTTCTCTTTGCATGTCTGTGTATGTATGTTGTGGTTTTGTTTTGTATTTATCCTGTTTGATATTCTTTGAGCTTATATTTGTAGTTTGATTTCTTTTCTGGTATTTGGCAAATTCTAGCCATTAAATCTTCAAATATTTTTCTTTTTCTGGGGTGTTTATTACATGTATTTTAGACCTTTTGCTATTGTCCTATAGCTCTTAGAAGCTCTGTTCTACCTTATTCTTTTTTTCTCTCTGTTTCAGTGTGAGTAATACCATTAATCCTTTTTCGGGTTCACTGATCCTTTCCTTAGCTGTGTCAAGTTATCTCTGTTAATGTGTTTTTTTATATCTAACATTTTTATTTTCTTCTTGATAGTTTCATCGCTCTCCTATAATGTCCCATCTGTTTATGCATATTGTTCATTTTTTCCACTAGATATTTTAGCATAATACTTATTTAAAACTCTAGTATGATAGTTCTAACATCTGGATGATATCTGAGTTTTGTTTTGTTATGGTTGTTTGTGTGCTTGTTCATGTATTTTGTAAATTGTGGTTGAAAGCCAGACTTTTTTTTTAAACTGTTTTTTCTTTATTGGTTTTAGAGAGGGAGGGAGAGGGAGATAGAAACATCCATGAGAGAGATCATCGATTGGCTGCCTCCTGCATGCCCCCACTGGGGATTTGGCTCACAACCTGGGCATGTGCCCTGGCTGGGAATTGAACCAGTAATCTCTTGATACATGGGTTGACGCTCAACCACTGAGCTACACCAGCAGGGCGAAAGCCAGATTTTTTTGTGTTAAGAATGTAAACACTGGAGGTATCACCTCACACCTGTCAGAATGGCCGCCATCAACAAATCATCAAACAACAAGTGTTGACGAGGGTGTGGAGAAAAGAGGACTCTAGTACACTGCTGGTGGGAATGCAGACTGGTGCAGCCACTATGGAAAACAATATGGTGTTACCTCAGAAAATTAAAAATTGAACTTCCATTTGACCCAGTGATTTTACCTCTAGGAATATACCCTAAGAAGCCTGAAAAAAACACCAATCAGAAAGAATATATGTACCCTCATGGGTACATAGCAGCACTATTTACAATAGCTAAGATCTGGAAACAGCCCAAGTGTCCATCAGTAGATGAACGGATAAAAAAGCTGTGGTACAAATATACAATGGAGTACTACGCAGCTGTAAGAAAGAAAGATCTCTTATCCTTTGAGACTACATGGAGGGACCTGGAAAGTATCATCCTAGGTGAAACAATCCAAACAGAGAAAGACAAGTTTCATATGATCTCCCTTATTTGTGGAATATAATGAACATAACAGTCTGAGGAAGGGGGTAGTCCCAGAGACGTGGAAGTGGGATACAGACTGACAATCCCCTAAATAGGGGGGTGGTGGGGAAGAGATAAACCACAGAACTTATATGCATGTATGCATGAACAGTGAACATGGACAACAAAGCCGGGGACGGGGCGGGGGGGGGGGATGGGGAGGAGGGTGTCAATGGGGTAAAAAAGGAGAAACATCTGTAACAAAAAAAATAAACTACAGAACAACCATCATTCAAAAAAAGAATGTAAACACTGAAATAAATAGTATTTGTGTCTAAAAAATGGACATGTCTTTTCTGCTAGATCTTAATTATATGGGATTGACTTGCTTTGGGTTTTGTAGTTGCTGAGTTGCTGTGATTGTCCTCAGTTTACCACCAGTTTTATATCCTTTGTGCTTTAAGTTGGTGGCTGAGTTACTAGAAGTTTGTTTGCTTGGTTTCCAAATGTACTTATATAGTGGACACACAGGATTTCCTTGTGAGCCTGTGCCTCAAAGAGTCCTCTCCATGCTCACTTCTCTCCTGTTGGTAGATTATTGTTATTTGTCCTTGGCTCTCTGGTAGGGAGCATGGGGTCATTTTCAGTTATTCTATTCTAGCCTCAGTCTTGGGCAGGCTGTTGGATCCTGGGTCTCAGGAGTGATCCAGTCTCTCCCCTGGTGGTCTGGGCCTGTGTGGTTTCCTGAATCTCCTGCAGGTTTTGTTTCCTTCCACCAGCAACAGTGGGTCATGGACCTGTGCTCTGGGTGATACCATTGTAACAAACCTGATTATTAATAAGAGGAAAGGAGCAAAGGGAAAGCCAAATATTAGAAGCATGCCCAGTAAAGTCTGGGTGAAATGGGGAAGGTACTTGCCTTTCAGTCACACTTGGGAACAGGTCATTGGCTAGAGTAGGCATGGCCACTGCAAGTGGTAAGATTTGACATACTTGAGCTCCTAAACAAAGGAGTTTGCTCTCTTGCCTCTTGGTTCTCCCTCTTGTCTCTTGATTTGTGCTCCTGGCTTGCAGGACTCTCACACTCGTGCATTTGCCCACATAGCCTATGGCCATGTGGACTCCACACACAGTGGACTAATGGACTACAACTAGCCCGATGCTACTCCAGATCCAGCTCTATCATGGAATGGAAACTTTGGACACTGGCTTTGCTTTTAGCTCTATTGAATCCCCAGCTACAGATCTTCCAGGGCTGGAGTAAGGGAAATGGGATTTGGCAAACCCAAGGATGTAATTCCACACAAATAAAAATCACTCATCCTCCCATACGAGTCTCAGACTATTCTTTTTCTCGAGATCGTGTAAGGACTCCACTCCCACTAACAATGGAGAAAGACCATATGTGTATTTCTCCAATAACATTGGGACTACAATGATGCTGACCATCGCTCAGTGGCATAATGCTTTGTTTCTTCTGGGTTAAAGATCTGGTCGGGCTTCGTGTGTTTCTTTCAGTGGGGGCTCTTCTCTTTTCCCAGGATCTGGAGGGTCACTTTTCTAATTCCTGCCCTTCCCCCAGTAGATCTGAGTATTCAGTAAAATCTGTAGACAATAGCTTTGGAATACATGTGATTCCCCTTGAGTCTTAAGCTTCCCAAGATTTCTATACTTTTATGGTGGTTCACCCTTGGATTTCAGTAATTCATCAAAAAGTTGAGATGAGCCCGGCCAGTGTAGCTCAGTGGTTGAGCGTTGACCCATGCATCAAGAGGTTGTCGGTTTGATTTTCGGACAGGGCACATGCCCAGGTTGTGGGCCTGATCCCCAATGGGGGGCATACAGGAGGTGGCCAATTGATGTTCTCTTTCATTGATGTTTCTATGTCTCCCTCTCCCTTCCTCTCTTTCTAACAATCAGTAAAGAAAAAAAATTATTAAAAAAAAAAAAAAGGTTAAGATGAAATCTTACCCAGAGGTAGGTAAGTCTTTCTCCTGTGCAGACTTAAGTCAGCCAGTTTTTACAACCTGTTCTGTTTTCTAAGGCACTTGTCTTTCCTTAGATCTCAAGCTGGTTGGTTACCCTGTGACTTAGCTCTGTTAGATTCAAGAAAAGTTACAGTTTCAAGATTACCCAGTGTTTTCTTGTTAGGGTGGGAGTGATATTATATCCAGCTTTCTATGTCATAAAGAGTATCAGAAGTCTACCTGAAAGATTTTAAGCCCCTAAATGGTATCCATTCCTAATATGATTTTCTTAATACTTTAGAAGAGAGTATACCAGATGTTCCCTGTCTTTGAATGATACTTGTGTTAGTGGATTGGGTAGAACACAAGTGTTCCCTTTCTTCTCTTGTACTATGATCCACTAAATTTATGTTAGCTGTTCCTGTTCATGGAGGTATATTGTTTACATTGTTTCTACCAGTTGTATAATATTAGGGAGGCAAAAGGTACCTCCCAGTGTGCCTTTTACTTAACTTTAAATTGAGGTAATTTCATTCTTTTTTTTTTTTTTAATCCTCACCCGAGGACATTTTTTTGTTTTTTGTTCAGGTAGAGCGGGAGGGAGAGAGAGGAACAGAGAGAGAGATAAACATCGATGTGAAAGGGACACATCGAGTGGCTGCCACCCGCACAACCGACCAGGGCCGGGGACAAACTGCAACCGAGGTACGTGCCCTTAGCGGGAACCGAACCCGGGCCTCTCAGGACCGCAGGCCGACGCTCTAACCGCTGAGCCAAACCGGCCAGGGCGGTAATTTCATTCTTAAATGATCCTCTTGGGTACTGTGGGGTTTGTGAAAAACTTTTAAATGGGCATTATATCAAATTTACATAAAAGTAGGCTACAGAGTGTGATTCCCCTCATATACTTAGTATCCAGCTTATTGACCCCTGCCTAGTGTGTGTCCTCTGTTACTTACATTTCTCCTTCCCATGGATTCTTTTGAAGCAAATTGTAGACATAATATCTTTTTGTGTAAAAATATGTGTAGGGGATTGTAGAGTTTTATTCTATACCATATGATTTAAAATTTTTTCCAGGGCATTTATGTGACAGTATATTCCAGATCTCTGATGTTTGTGATTCGTAACTACACCTGCTAACAGAAGTTATGGAGGCGAGGCCGTTTTCTCCCTCGTGTTTGTAGACCTTTGTCTCTCCCTGAAAAGTGGCCTATTGTACCATGTTTAATGTTTTGGAGTTTGAGTGGATATCCCCTAAGAATTGAATTCACACTAATAAATTAATTTTTATATTCCTTTGAGACTGCTATTTATACCTATATACTCAAAGGAAAGAGCACAGTGAGTTTATTGTATTTTTCTTGTTATATTTTAAACTGTTTGCATATATAAGAGTTCAGTGTTTTAAGTCAAAATTTTTAACCTTTTAACTTGTAATAACTTTAGACTTACAGAAAAATAATAAAAATGGGACAGGGAGTTTACATATACCCATCACCCAGATTCATTTTTAACAACTTACATGACCATAGTACAATGAACAAAACCATGTAATTAACATTGGCTATATGTCTTTATTTTAACAGCTGCTGAAATAGTTCAAGAAATTGAAAATATGGAGAAGACCAGGATGCGTCTTGAAGCTAGTAAACTCAGTGAAAGAGTATGTTATAATCTATTTCAGTGTCTGGGTAGAAATAAAGGAAAGAAAAGTTGAACGCCTACTAAAATTAAAGCAAGCCAGAATACTAGAACACATTTCCATTTAATATATTATGACCTACTCGCAGCTCATTTTTAGCACAAAACTCAATCATATTTAGCAGTTTTCTAGCACAAAATGCAATCTAAAGTAGAGTATATTAATGAGTTATAGTCCTTAGAAAAAGCATGTGCCTGTGTATCAGGAAGCCTTTGTATTGGTCCTTTCTCTGTCGGTTGCATTTGATAAGCTGTTTAACCTCTGCAGCCCTTACCATCTTCACCTGTAAAGCTCAGGGGCTGAACTCTGTGATCTCTAAGATCTCCTTCAGGCGTTGGCATTCAGCAATTTTATGAGTATACTGATTGAGAAATTAAGTAATTGTAGGAATTTGTGAGAATTGAATATCTATTGAGCTTATTGAGGGAATCAGGGACCTAAATTTTTTCACTGCTGCCTTCCTCTAGCTTGATGGCCCAAAACTTGTGGAAAAGATGCCAAAGAAAATAGTCATGTGTCTTATGACACTGGAGGTGTGTTTTGGGCTCACCCAAGTAGACTTTTTTCCCTGGACCACCCGTAATGTGTTCGTAAGGAAAACTACGACCTTAGGGAAGTGAGCTTATATAATCTGTAGTAGAAAAAAATGAGATCTGCATTGATTTTATTACTACCTTTGTGCTTACTGTAAGATGGAGACTGTAATGAAGAATGTAAGTACGCTTCTGATCTTTTAAGTCCAAGATTTTAAAAAGTGGAACTAGAAATTTAATATAAGTATTATTTTTTTCTTATATATATTACATTTCTTATAGATTTGTGGAAGTTAGGTTGGAAAAGATAGAAGGCAAACGAGAAAATCTGTCTTATTAATGATCAACTAAATGTCTCCAGTCTTGTAGTTTAAAGTGTCACCTGTTGTATTAATGTGCAAAATTAAATATTGAAAATAGGAAATTTAATTGATTGTTGTATTAATACTTTATATATTCTAATGGAATCCATGTTGTATTTTCTATTGATGAGAAATAAGTAATTAATAAAATGTATACTAATTATGCTATTTAAAGGGAAGTACACAGGAGTTATTTTTCCTAGGTCTATGTGAAACAGATGAGAGATTATTTTACTCTATTTTAAATACCCTCATTAGATATTCTGAAGTTTATGGTACTGATTTCTATTTTTGTCATTTATTGAATTTTTAATTAAGAATTTTTGGATTATTTTAGATAATGGTTTTTACAAAGGACCAAACAGAAAAGGAAATAGACGAAATTCACAGTAAATATCGTAAGTTGTGTGATGTTTTCTTTATTCACAAAGAATTTGGGTTGTAGTTTTTTTTATCTTAAGTAAAGTTTAAAATAAATTTTTTTATATTAATGTTTGGTACAAACTTATCTTGTTAATATTACTTAAGAGACTGAATTTTAGTTATGTTTACTCAGACAGTGACCTTTTTTATAGGTCAGTGTGCCTGCTTTTTGATTTGTGACTGACGTTCTGCTTTGAGCTTATCACTAAGCACTTTGTAAATATTAATTAGTTGCTCTCAAAGCATCTCTGTGAGAAGAAAATGGGATTAAAATGGAAATGTTTCTACCCTGGCCCGTTTGGCTCAGCATTTGGAGCATCGGCCTGCGGTCCTGAGAGACTCAGGTTTGGTTTGGTTCGGTTCCCGCTAGGGGCGCATACCTCGGTTGCAGTTTGGCCCCTCCCCGGTTGGGGTCGTGTGGGTGGCAGCCACTCGATGTGTCTCTCTCACACTGATGTTTCTCTTTTTCTCTCTCTCTCTCTTCCTTTCTCTCTCCCTCTAGCTCTCTGTAAAAATGTCCTCGAGTGAGGATAAAAAAATAAAATAAATAAAATAAAAATGTTTCTTTCCATCTTCTCCTCAAGCCACTGAACAATACTATAAAGAATTCCAGCCCTGGCCGGTTTGGCTCAGCTGTTAGAGCGTCGGCCTGCGGTCCGGAGAGACCCGGGTTCGGTTCCCGCTAAGGGCACGTACCTCGGTTGCGGTTTGTCCCCGGCCCTGGTTGGTCGTGCAGGTGGCGGCCACTCGATGTTTCCCTTTCACATCGATGGTTCCCTCTCTCTCTCTCTTCCGCTCTCTCCCTCCCACTCTATCTGTGCAAAAAATGGAAAAATGTCCTCCGGTGAGGATTAAAAAAAAAATTAAAAAAAAAAAAGAATTCTAGCACTTACAGCTTGCAAATTTGTGCCAAAAAGAGTTTTCATTTTAGTAGGTATTAACAACTTCCTAACTTTATCACTTCTTTTGCTTAAATGGCCTTGTATATATCCCAGGGCTAGCACACTACTGTTTTGTTAGTGAGATACTGTTATTCTTTGGTTTGTTTTTAGTTTAAATTTAAATTTAAGTGCTTGGCAAATGGTAGATAATAAATATTTGTTGGATGAATATACCACACATGAAATGTTTTAATTGTGCTAAGAGAATTTTTCTTCTTTTTTCAGTTCTTAAGCTTTGAAGGGGCAGATTCAGCAGTGATCTATTTGGGGAGGGAGGATGAAGGAGTACACAGGCACTAGATGTAGGTGTGATGGCCTGAGTCTTACAGAGAAGGAACAGGAGCCTAGACTGTTCACGGACCATAGGTGGAACATCAAAAATCACATCTCTTGCTAGAAAGATAAGTATGGTGTGACTTTTCTAAACAACTTTGGGAAGTCAAAGTGATTTTTCTTGAGCAGGAGATAGAGATAGGCAGATGACCACTGGATTGCCAAAACTGAGGCCTGTAACAGTAGGAAAACAGACAATTTGCATGGAGAAAAAGTAATTTAAATCATTAAAAGAATGGTGTCTAACAAATATGGCCAGACTAAGGAAGAATGGATTAGATGCAGGCAAGACAATATACAGATATCTAAATATCTAAGAAAAGCTTAACTTTACTAAATAGGTCATTTTAACAAAATTAATTTAGCCCTAAAACAAAACCTCAGTATGTACTTAAGAACAAACACACACACACAAAAATTTCAGTCACTTCTAAAGCTTTTAAGTGCTTAGCTTTATAGTTTAGTCAGACATTTTGATTTAGTGTTGGATTCCAAATATACCATTGATTCTTTTCTTTTAAACATTTTTATTAATGCTTTACATGCATGTAGTTTTTTTTTTTTTTTTTTTTTAATTGATTTTAAAGAGGAAGGAAGGGAGAGAGAGACCCATGGATGTGAGATAGATCCATTGTTTTCCCGTCATACACACACCCCTACTGGGGGATTGGACCCACAACCTGGGTATGTGCCCTGACTGGGGAGCAAACTTGTGACCTTTCGGTGTATGGGACAGTGCTCCAACCAGCTGAGCCACACTGGCCAGGGCTACCTGCATGTAGTTTTCTTTTTAAAAATCACATATTTCTGTCCAGCTGGTGTGGCTCAGTGGTTGAGCATCGACCCATGTACCAAGGGGTCACCGGTTTGATTCCTGGTTGGAGGCACATGCTCAGGTTGTGGGCCAAATCCCCAGTGGAGGTCATGCAGGAGGCAGCTGGTCGATGTTCTCTCTCATCGATGTTTCTGTCTCTCTCCCTCTCCCTTCCTCTCTCTCTAAAGCCAATAAAGAAAAAAAAAATTACATATGTCTGCAAGGCTTATTATTAAAAAAAAACTCACCTGCTTTCTCCACCACTAACCTGTCTTCTTCATTCCCTTTCTCTGGAGATAACAACTTATGGATAGATTGTTCTTTCTGCTACTTCTTGAAGTGTTTCAGTTTTTCACATTAGCTATTGATTGATGTCACAATACGAAAAATGAAGATTTAGCTCTTTTATACATTCTGACTGCCTACCTTTGCCTCCCTTCCATCCTCTGATTATTGTCAAATTATTTTATAAATTTAATATTCAGTTAGATACTTTGTTTATGGTTGAACGAGGCAACGTATATACTATACTTATGAAGAGTAGCAGAGCTCTGGTTATATGTTGAATTTGGCCTTTGGGCTGTTGCTTGCTAACCTCTTTAGACTAATGCTCGTACTAATTTTCTCTAATGAAAAGATTTTTAAAGAATAGACTTTACTCCCTGGCTGGTGTGGTTCAGTGGTTAGAGTGTCTATCTGTGGACCAAAGGGTTGCAGGTTCGATTTCTGGTCAAGGGCACATGCCTGGGTTGCAGGTTCTATCCCTGGCATTGGTTGGTGTGCATGTGGGAGGCAACCAACTGATGAGTCTCTCTCATATCGATGTTTCTTTCTCTTTCCCCCTCTCCCCCTTCCACTCTCTCTAAAAAAAATTAATGGAAAACATACCCTCAAGAGGATTTTTTTTTTAAAAGAGACTTTTTAGAGTACTTTCAAGTTTGTAGCAAAATTTAGTGGAAAATACAGAGTTCCTATATCTTTCGTGATCCACAGATGCGCTGTTTCTCCTGCTGTTAACATCTCTCACCAGAGTAGCACACTGACACATCATTATCACAAAGTCTGTAGTTTACACTAAGGTTCATTCTTGGTGTTATATATTCTGTGGGTTTTAACAAATATATAATGACATGTATACCAGTATCATATCATACAGAATAGTCACTGCCTTAAAAGTCCTCTGTGCTTTATTTATTTACTTATTTATTTATTTTTGGTTAATCCTCTCCTGAGGATATTTTTTCCACTGATTTTAGAGAGAGAAAAAAGGAGAGGAAGAGAGAGAATCATTGATGAGAGAGAACATAGATTGGCTGCCTCCTTCATGCCTCCCACTGGGGATTGGGCCCACAACCTGGGCATGCGCCCTGACCGGGAATAGAATCAGCGATCTTTTGGTGCATGAGTCGATGCTCAGTCACTGAGTCACACCGGCTGGGCGAGCCTGAGATTCTTTGGTGCATAGGCTGACGCTCTAACCACTTAGTCGCACCACCCAGAGCTGTGCTTTATTTATTGATCCCTCCTTTCTCCCTAACCCCTGACAACCACTTATCTTTTTGCTGCCTTTATAGTTTTTTTCTTTTCTAGAATGTCATGTAATTGGAATTATACGGTACGTGGCCTTTTCAGATTGTCTTCTTTTTCAGTAATATGCATTTCAGGTTCCCCTATGTTTTTTCATGGCTGAATAGCTCATTTCTTTTTAGTCTTGAACAATATTCTGTTTTCTGTGTGTACCATAGTTCATTTATCAATTTACCTAGTGAAGAACACCTTGGTTGCTTATTTTGGCAATTATGAAAAAAGTTACTTTATGTTCATGTGCAGGTTTTGGTATGAATATCTTTTCATTTTATTTGGATAAATACTAAGAAGTGCGAGGGCTAGATAATAAGGTATCTTTAGTTTTTAAAGAAATTGTCTTTTAAAATCTCTGTACCATTTTGCATTCCCACCAGCAATGAATAAGAATTCTTGTTGCTTTTCATCCTCACTGGCATATGTCTTGTTAATGATTTTGATTTCTGCCATTCTAATATGTGTATAGTGGTATCTTCTTTTTTATATTTTTAATGCACAATTACCTAATGACATGATGTTGATATGGTTATTTGCCATTTGTATATCTTTTTCCATGAAGTATCTGTTCGGAAATTTTGCCCATTTTTTAATTGGGTCATTCATTTTTTTCTTGATTTTTAGAAGTTCTTTGTATATTTTGGATAATTGTCCTTTATCAGATATGTCTTTTGTAAATATTTTCTCCTGGTCTGTGGCTTGTCTTCTCATTATCTTCATAATCTGCACTATTAAAACTTGAAAGCAAGCTTTGGAATGATTCAGTTGATTCCAAGTAGCTTGATATCCTTCAGAACAAAATACAATATTAAGGATAGAACAAAATCTAGCAACCAAGATGATAAAATTAATAGTATTTAGTATCCTATTGAAATTACCAGGACTTCAAAGAAGCCGAAAAATACGATCCATGGAAAGGAAAAAAAATAATTAATAGAGTCAAACCCAGGAATGACAGAGATGATGAAACTAGTAGACAAAATGTTAAAACAGCATGTACAAATATGCTGCTTTTGTCAAGAAGGAAGAATAAAATGTGGTTTGCTGAGGTGAGAAATGGATGGTATAAAAAAGACTTAAATGGAATTCCTTATATGACAAACATACCTGAATTAAAATATACACTGGATGAAGTAAAAACAGATTAAGATATATATGTAATATAGATATAGATATATAGACATAACTGAAAGAAAATACTTCATATCAGTGTAGGATGCAGCTAAAGCAGTGCGTAGAGGGAAATTTATAACATTAAATACTTGTATTAGAAAAGAAAAGAGATTTTAAATTAGTCATCTATGCT